AGATCAAGAGTCACATCCTCTACCAACTGAGTCAGCCAGGGGCCCCAACAAAAAGTTTTATATAGCTTTTTTGAACCCAGAATCAAATCAAGGTTTCATACATTTCATTTCAGGGGTTATGTCTGTTAATGTCACTTAATCTAGAATATTCCCCCACATTTTGTTTGGAGAGTATTGTCTAGTTGTCTTTTAGATATTCTGGATGTGTCTAATTGTTTTCTTATGATTAGATTTGACTTAAACATTTCAGTATGTATATTACATCACATCAGAAAGTTGACAATGCCAGGTGTTTCACTTTTGGTAATGCTAAATGTGACCAACCCCTTGGTTAAGGTGCTAACCAGCAGATCTCTCCATTGTAAAGACATATTTTTCCCTTTGTAGTATATAAGTAATCTTGGGGGTATTATACAGCAATTATATATACTACTGTTTTTCACTTAAAATTATAATTGTATTTTCTGTGTTATGTCAAATTCACCTGATATGCTAAATTCTTATGAGCATATAGTTTATTTTTTTAAATATATTTTTAATGTTTATTTATTCTTGAGAGAGACAGAGACAGAGTGTGAGCAAGGGAGGGGCAGAGAGAGCAGGAGACACAGAATCCAAACCAGACTCCAGGCTCCGAGCTGTCAGCACAGAGCCTGGTGCGGGGCTCAAAATCACTAAGATCATGACCTGAGCCCAAATCGGACGCTTAACTGACTGAGCCACCCAGACGCCCCTATACTTTCTTATTTTTATTAAAAATAATACCTATTTATTGAATGCTTATTGGGCCAACCTCTGTGTTAGTTTGCATCCATTATCTCATTTATCTAACATAAGACTATTTTGTCCTCCGTAATCGTGCTAGGAGATAGAGACTATTGTTCTCTTCATTTTACAGTAGAAGTCTTCACAGAGAAGTCATTCTAATCATGTAAGTATTAAAACGTTGTATTCAGTCTGCTCATTTCCTGACCTGGAGCCCTTCACCACTCTGCTATGCTCTTCTTTAGAAAGTAGATTTGAAGATCCTGTGGTAGCATCAGATGAATTTAAAAGTCAAGGAGAAGTACCGATTTTCTCTTCTGTTATCTTCTTTCTCCCTCTCTCTTTTTTCTTGCTTTTCTTCCCTCCCTCTCTTCATTTATTTATAATTATGGTAAAGTACATACAAGATTTACCATCTTAATCATATTTAAGTGTATAATTCAGTTCACGTGGTTGTGCTACCAGTCTCCAGAACTCTTCATCTTGCAGAACTGAAACTCTATACCCAGCATACAACTCCAAATCCCTCCCCTTCCCCTAGCCTCTGGCAACCACCATTCTACATTATGTTTGTATAAATTTAAGTACCCTAAGTACCTCAAGTAAGTGGAAACATATGGTATTTATCTTTTTGTGACTGGGTTATTTCACTTAGCATAATAACTTCAAGGTTCATCTGTATTATAGCATGTGTCAGAATTTCCTTTCTTTTTAAGGCTAAATAATAATATTCCATTCTATGTATACTATTTTGTTTTATCTATTCCTCTGTCAGTGAGCACCTGTGTTGCATATACGTCTTGGCTGTTGTGAATAATGCTGCCATGAACATGGGTGTGCAAATTGAAACTCTACTTTCAATTCTTTTGGGTACATACCCAGAAGTAGAACTGCTGGATCATGTGGCAATTTTATTTTTAATTTTTTGAGGTCTTACCCTTTATAATAATACTTTTATTTTTAAATTTTTGATAGAGGGCTCCTGGGTGTTTCAGTCGGTTAAGCATCTGATTTGGGCTCAGGTCATGATCTTGTGGTACACGAGTTCGAGCCCCGCCTCGGGCTCTGGGCTGACAGCTCAAAGCCTGGAGCCTTCTTCAGATTCTGTGTCTCCCTCTCTCTCTGACCTTCCCCTACTCATACTCTGTTTCTGTCTCTCTCAAAATAAATTAAAAAACATAAAAATAAGTTAAAAAACATTAAAAAATAAATTTTTGATAGAAATATAGTTGACATTATATTAGTTTCAGGTGTACAACATAGTGATTTGACAATTATATACATTATGAAATGCTCACCACAATAAGTATAGTTGCCATCTGTCACCATACAATGTTATTACAATATCATTTACTATATTCCGTGTGCTGTGATTTTCATCACTGACGCATTTATTTTATAACTGGAATTTTGTACCTCTTAATCCCCTTTACCTATTTTACCTATCCCTCCCATTTCTCTCCCCTAGCAGCAACCATTTTAACGTTTATTTTCCAAGGTAGTTAAAGATGTCACTCTCTTAGGAATATTCTTATTAATAGTAACCATGACCTATCTGTAGAGGACAAACTTAAGCAAAAAAACACCTTCTTTTAACTCTGAAAATCTAAGTCTATTTGAAGGGTAATTAATTTTTGTAGTTTTGAAACTTGGAATGAAGATCCTCCGGCATTTAGGCAGGTACACCATCTTTTGTGGACCTCTATATTTAAACGATACTTTTTTCTTCCTTTATCAACTGTAATCTGTATTTTAAAAATCTATCAATGTCTATTAATCTTTTGAGGTTTCACTGAAGTTCCATGAAGTTTTTGCCTAAGTGCTCATTCTGTCAACATTTCAACATTTATATAAATACTTTGTGTGCTGTGTTTTATTCTTCATTGTCTTTCTTCTCTGACTCTCCATATAGCTTATTATTTGTCCCTTTCTAGATGGTAAACCCCAAAAAATTTTACCAAATTTTATATTTCTTTTCCATTTGAATCTTCCCCCCAACCCCTGCCCCCCTCAAAAAAAATTACTCCTGGCTCACTTCTGCCCAAATAATTCACCTGAATAAATGATTCACTGGCCCTTAGATAATATATAGAAAGTATATTAGAAGTTTCACTTAACTGTTGTTGCCATTGTTTTCACTGTGCCCTTATGATGTGCCAGGCCTTCCAGGCACTGCAAGACAAGGATGGATACAGTATAGATCCTGGTATCAAGATGCTTTATAGACTGGTGAGGAGATATTTATGTACAGAACCATGTGATGAGTGGTATACTGGTGTTATGAATGTTGTTCTGAGGTGGCATAAAGATGGAAACCACAAATAAATGATTCCCAGAGAGTCAAGAAGACTTCAGGGAGGAGGGAACATTTGGGTGTGGTCTTGAAAGGTAAGTAGAATTTGAGGTGCTAGAAGAAAGTATTTTATGCAGATGAAAGATAGAATGCAATGAGTTATGAACATGTTCATCATCTTGTCCACTTTTTTAAGGAAATAGGATTTTTTCTGATTAGTTTGAAATACAGATTGTTCATCCTTGAATTTCACATTGTTTTAATATTGAACTTTCTTAAAAGCTCACATTTTGTTAAAATTTCCGAGTGATAGTTTTCAGATGATGAAAAAAGAAGAATAGCTTTCAGAATGGAGAGCCCTTATTAAAACACAGATGTCTTCTGTAAATAGAGTTGGAAAAATACTGTCAGTGTGTTCTTTGTATATAAACGTTTCTTGTAACTTATCCATGCAGGATCTGAAAAGGAAAGTCACTTCTCTTTCTTCAATCACGAGGTACATGACAACAGAATCATTGATGCACTAGGAAGAGAGTTGGGTTCCAAATCTCACTAAGAGATCTAGAAGAGGGGAGAGACAGCCAGTGTTCTGCCTCAGTTTTTCTAACCAGGGTCCCTGTGGCTCTGAGTGTTTTGCTTCCTCTTTCCCTTATGTCTGGCTGATCTGAAACATTGTTTCTTTGAACTCTTAAGATAAAATGTTATGTCTGTCCTGTATTAATAGATATGCTGAAATTCTGGGGCTGTTGTCATTTCAAGGAATTTCTGTAGATTGAAGAGTTAAGTAGGTTGTCATATTTTCTCCTGAAACTTCCACTTGGTCAATTACAATATACTAAAAGAATACTCAAAGTCCATAGGACGATGACATTTTTGCATAGCAAGTCTCTGTTGTGCCAGATCTGAAATGTTTTTTTAACCAGAGAGTAAGGAGGTCCTTGGTACTTGGTAATTTTTCTACTGCCTTATTCATAATTTCTCAGTAGGAAAAACACATTTCAGTAAATAATTGAGTTTCTTTCGGGTAAGACAAAATATTTTCTCTGGTAGTCTCCTTTTGCTACTACTGAGACATTTAGAGGGTAAAAACATAGTTAATTTTCTTGTGAGTAAAGTATTACAGTTATTGGAAACTGTGGAGTGTGCATTGAAATTATAAAACAATATTTTTACATGCAAAATATATTGAATTCTGTAGAGAATAAATGTTTCAGAAGTAGACTTTCCTCTGTGTGTACGGGTAATAGTGCGAATGGCATGACCCATGTTTTTTTGTATCTGACTTGAGTATGTTTATGTGATTATAAGGTACTTTGGGTTGGCCCACTATATTGTCCCTAAAAGGTCCACTGACTTCTTTCTATATTTAACATGAATGCTTTTTTTCATATATATTTATGTGTGCGTACACACACACACACACACACACACACACACACACACAGATGCACACATACATGCTGCTTGGGGGAGATTTTGAGGATGTGGCTTTAGTGTCCTATAAAGATAGTTTTATAGTTCCTTAAGTGTTATATAAGGCTTATGCATATATCTTTTCTGTGCACACTTAAAATTCCACAAAGGGGACTTTTTCCTGTTAGTGTCCTAAGAGTCAGCAATATTGACCATAAGGAACTAGCCTAATAAATTTCCCACATTTTTTTCTAAGGTATTAAAAAAAGCTGCCATTTCTTGAGGTGTTATTAACAATGTTTTTCTGGCCAGCTTAATGTGAAACAGTTTTGCTCTTTGATGGAATAAATCCATCTTCATTAATGGAAGTGAGACCCTAATGTGATCAGTTTACAGGAAAACATCCTGAAGTATATCTATTTTATCTAAACTGGCACTAAAACATCTTGGCATGTTTACATGTGGAGACTTTGACCTCATATTTAACTGCTGTCCTTGAATCCTTCTCTTGTTCTATTTTATTTTCTAGGTGCGCCATCGAGCTTCTGGCCAGGTGATGGCTCTTAAGATGAACACATTGAGCAGTAACCGGGCAAACATGCTGAAAGAAGTTCAGCTTATGAATAGACTCTCCCATCCCAACATCCTTAGGTAATGGCTTTTCCTTTCTTTTGAGGATTAGTGAGAAAGCTGGAACATTATTGGAGGCTTGTTAGAATAGCATTAATAGCTGTAAAAAGGGATTTGGAATTTTGTGCTGAATCTGTCTTGCTAGGATTTAGCTGTGCTATAGGTATTTTTCTACCTATTGAGAATTAATTTTCTGTAACTGCATTTAATAAAGCAACTTCCTTCTGTCTCTCAAATTGCTTTATTCTTAAAAGCAGCTCACTAGAACAATTGTTTACTATTGCTAAATTAGTAATTAAAAAAATTTTTAAGTTTATTTATTTATTTTGAGAGAGAGAGAGTGCAAACAGGGGCAGAGAGAGGGAGACAGAGAATCCCAAGCAGGCTCTGTGCTATCAGTTCAGAGGCTGACACTGAGCTCAGTCTCACCAACTGTGAGACCATGACCTGGGTGAAATCAAGAGTCAAATGCTTAACCGACTGAGCCACCCAGGTGCCCCACTAAATTAGTAATTTATCAAGGAGAAAAGATTTTTCTCTTTTTGTTGTTATTTAATTTTCTTAATTGCTTTATGAGATATCATAATTAAATCAGTGAATGAAAATAAAAGAGTGCCCCTAGGCTATCTACCCTTAACTTGTAGCACTGAAGAAGACATAGTTTACCTTTTTTACTTTTTTTTTTTTTTTTAATGTTTGTTTTGAGAGAGGGACAGAGTGCAAGTAGGGGAGGAGCAGGGAGAGAGGGAGAGAGAATCCCAAGTAGGCTCTACACTGCCAGCATATAGCCTGGCAGAGGGCATGATCCCACGAACCATGAGATCATGACCTGAGCAGAAATCAAGAGTCAATTGCTTAACTGACTGAGCCACCCAGGCACCCCAATAGTTTACCTTTTTACAGGAGAATTCATATTATATAAAATAAGGTTATATGATCCTCACTTTCTAGTAATCAGTATCTGAATCTTTCTCACTCAAATTATCTTGATTTTTTTTTAGTGAGGTGAGTGTATTTCCGAATGAAATCAAATAAGACAATTTGAGTCAATATATATTTAATAGAGTTTATGTGTAAGACACTTTAAGAAGTTAAAAGTGCTGTTTACTTAGGGTCATTTATTGCTAATATTTACATTGGACTGGAAAGGAATCATACAGCTTAAGTATGACTTACATGTTTGGTCAGTGATAGTATATTATGGAATTGGATTATACTGTTTACTTTAAACTTTCTACCTTTATATAGAATTGTTGGCTTCCTAGTCTACTACAAAAATGTTCAGCCAGTATTTTTATTATGATGACGTTCTTCCCAATGCACAAATCTGATCAACATATTTTTTTGAGCATTTAGTATAAGCCTGGTGATTTGTGAGACACCAGAAAAGTATAAAGACATATATAAAATGGAATGCCTGCTAGTAGGAAAGAGTTTGACTCTAACTGGGAATGTAGGACTTATATATATGAAAAGAGAACTAATAAAATCATCTAGGACCCCACCACTTGCATAGAATAAACTCTATGTGCTATAGAAGTTCAAAGGAGTGAGAGATCATATTAGCTTGGCAGAGTGAGGGAAGCCTTTTTGGAGGAGGTTGACTGGGACTGGAACTTGAATTTTAAAAGGATTTTTAGAAGATCGGGAAGGAACTCAGAAAATAGAAGCAAAGCAGTAATAAAACACAGAGGTAAAAGTGCAAAGCTTTTTGAGGAGTTAGTGAATAAAAACCCATTTGGTTAATAACAATAGTAAGAAAGCCACCATTTATTGAAGGCTTGTATGCTGGATACTTTACCTATTTAAAGATTTAATCTTTACAACTAATCACTATTGAAGGACTGAGGGTAAGAGATGATGTGTTGGCCAAGGTCTGTGACTCTGAGGCCTGGGCTCTTTCTACCATTCTTCTCATAGGAGAATTGATGATTTGACAGAATACTATTGGTAGATAAAGGTGGAAATGTAATAAAAATAATCAAGAATGGCTTGCATAAAGCCAAAAACAGTATGTTTTATCCTCTGTGTATTGGATTCTGAGCATGGACTAACATGGCAGAGGTAACTGATGGCAAATTCAGAATGGTTTAGTGTTAGGGAGACTCATGGCCAAGAGACCAGTTAGGGGGCCTATATAATGTTTGAGAGTGAGATTTTATAAGTGTTTATTTTAAGCTGATCATATTTTCATCTTGCTTAAAAATATTTTTAGGGGTGGCTGGGTGGCTCAGTTGGTTAAACATCTGACTTTGGCTCAGGTCATGATCTCATAGCTCATGAGTTCGAGCCTTGTATTGGGCTCTCAGCTGTTAGCGCAGAGCCCGCTTCGGATCTTCTGTTTCTCTGTCTCTGCCCCTTTTCTGCCTTGCACATGTTGTCTCTCTCTCTCTCAAAATTAAACATTAAAAATAAAATAATATTTTTATTGTTTTTCATTTTTATAGAAGTGATACATTATCACTATGGAACATTTAGAAAACAGTCAGTAAAACAAGAAAATAAAAATTGCTCTTTATCTCAGTGTGTAGGGATCAAACTATTATTAACATTTGGTATATTTTTTGCCAGTCTTTTATTTAACTACTTTTCTTATTTTCTTTATGTAAACTTGACTGGTGAATGCATGGGAAGAATGACATTAAATAAATTTTATTCTAGCACAGCAAAAACTTAAAATACAGTTGTTATATAATAGAGATAGCATAGTATAGTATGATTAAAAATGAAGTTTCTAGATTCTAGATCTGGCTGACTGGATTCAAATCCTGGATCTTGGGAAAGTTACTTAACCTGTCCAAGTATTAGTTTTCCCATCTATAAAATGAGAGTAATGACAGTATATATATCATGAAGTTGTTTGAGGGTTAATTAAATTAGTGCATATAAACCACCTAGAAGAGTATCTGGCTTGTGTTAAGTGCCCGGTAAATGTTAGCTACTATTCTTAGTTTTTTTTTCTCTGGCTAGTTTTTATTATTATTATTGTTTTTGAGAGAGAGAGAGAGAGAGAGAGAGAGCGAGTGAGCGAGGGGCAATGAGAGAGAATCCCACAAGGGGCTGAGAGAGAGAGAGAGAGAGAAAGAGAATCTCGAAATCCCAAAGCTGGGCTCCAGCTCACCCCATGCAGAGTTCGAACTCAGGTTCTTAACTGACAGAGCCACCCAGGTGCCCCTAGTTTTTTTTTTTTTTTTCAATGGCCCATTGAAGCCTGTTGCTTATCATTCATTCATTCACCAAACATTTATTGAGTGCTGCTGGTTTTAATACGTTCAAAGGTTTTTTCCTAGAGTAATGCTGTTGAATAGAACTTTCTGCAGTGGTGGAAATGTTCTTTATCTGTGCTTTCCAATAGCCACATGTGCCTAAAGAGCATTGTATGAAATGTGGCTAGTGCAAACAAAGAACTGAATTTTTTTAATTTGATTTAAATCACTACATGAAGCTACTGGCTACTGTACTGCAAAATACTGGGCTAGAATCCACCTAGATCTTTACTCTTGTTTTGCTTAATATATATGTTCCAGCCTAGAAATGTGTGATGAGACCAGTGATACTATTCCTATTCAGATGTCCCCTTGATCTTTCTTACTTAGCCTATCTCTTTTTGGTTCCATTGTGCAGGAATGACACACCCCTCCCTTTTAACTTTCCACAAGTAATAATATTCTTTGCACTCAGCTAAGTTTTCTAATATATAAAAGATAATGTTAACTTCTTCTTGATTTGGCAGTAGGCCACAAATGAGATACTTTATAAAAGCCTTTGCATCTGTTATAATCCACAGAAAGTATAAAATACATGAAAATTATTATAATTATTGTTAGCCATAGTGGTTTTGCACTCTTGATGATGACTCTTTTTGTTCTGTATAAGCCATCTGTTTCAAATATATTGTCATTAAAAGCCTGGAAATAGATTTATTTTTTTTTTAAGTTTTATTTATTTATTTTGAAAGAGAAAGAGAGATAGTGGGGGAGGGGAAGAGAGAGATAGAGAGGATCCCAAGCAGGCTGTCAGTGCAGAGCCTGATGTGGGGCTCCATCTCATGAGCTGAGCTAGTGCTTATCTGACTGAGCCACTCAGATGTCCCTGGAAGTAGATTATTAAAAAAAATTTTTTTAATGTTTATTTTATTTTTGAGAGAGAGAGAGAGAGAGAGAGAGAGAGAGACAGAGCACGAGCGGGGGAGGGACACAGAGAGAGGGAGACACAGAATCCAAAGTAGGCTCCAGGCTCTGAGCTGTCAACACAGAGCCCAATACGGACTTGGACACAGAAACCATGAGATCATGACCTGAGCTGAAGTCAGATGCTTAACTTACTGAACCACCCAGGTGCTCTTGTAGATTACTTTTAAAAAGAAGCTTCTGGTTGTTTATATCTTTCATGTTTTTGTGCTTTCACTTTTATTATATATTTTGAATACAACAAAAAGAAATTATCTTACCAGTGGCCTAGAGGAAGCAGGGTCTTCTTGACTTTTGTTATTAGGAGGAACACTAACTATAGCAATAGAAGCATCTATTATACTTCCTTAGGCTACCTTAAATATCAAACTAAGCATGACTGTGTGTCATTCTCAAAATACTTAGAATTTTTATTTCTTAGATGCTTTTCTAGTTGTCTTAGAAATTTACTATTAATACTTTGTTTTTATAATTTAAAAATTTTAATGTTTATTTATTTTTGAGAGAGAGAAGGAGAGTGTGCGTGGGAGAGGGGTAGCGAGAGCTGAAGACACAGAATCCAAAGCAGGCTCCAGGCTCTGAGCTGTCAGCACAGAACCCAACTCGGGGCTCAAACTCACGAAACGTGAGATCATGACCTGAGCTGAAGTCGATACTTAACCAACTGAGCCATCCAAGTGCTTGTAATTTAAATGTTTTGTAACTATTTGTTAATAAGGGTTTTAGGCTGTTTTCAAGCTGTGACGCTTAACAAGCTCTCCTTTATAGATGCAGAAGCTGAGGCAGAATTATGAACCAAGGTTTTCCCTCAAATTGAGATTATTAGATTTA